GGTACTCTTACCACCAACACCCAAGCAACCTCAACGGTCCACACACCGCTGGGACAATGTTCTCGTGATCATTGTGCCAGTTTCCCCTTGATGGATTGCTTCAGGTGTGGTGTCAGGTGTGGTGTCAGGTGTTGTCTCAGGTGTTGCGACAGGTGGGGCGCGCCCATGTCATCCTTGGAACCCTCATCTCTTGGTGTTCTGCCTAACCGCCTCGACGGTCCAAGTGAGAGACTGTCTAAAGACAGTGGTATATCTAGTTCTGTTCTTTGTCGGTGTTCTTTCCTTGTACTTGATGAAACCTTGGTTCTCAGAGTTGTTCTACTCCCCGGCCTGGGGCCAGGTTTGTCTTGTGATAACTGGATTTAGAAAGCTGTTGTTGGGAGCGGCCCGCAGGCCCACATATCCGATACCAGCCGGTTGGTCCGGCACGTCTTACAGGAGTGTCTAATTTTAATTCCTTGTTTAGCACTTTTATTGTTGCGATGTTTATGTGTTCTTGGAGGGTATTGAACAGCCGCCGACCTGAGAGGTTCATACAGTGTTCTGAGTGAACACTATGAACAATATTATGATGCTTTCATTTTTAACGAGTTGGTCGATTCCGTAAAAAATGCGACGTTGAGAAAACCGGTTGATATCACCTGATTGGTTGGTTGAGGGAGTACGGCCAGGGAGAACACGCCTCCTGATTGGTTGAGCAGTAGACTGCCAGGGTAGACTGCCAGGGTAGACTGCCAGGGTAGACTGCCAGGGTAGACTGCCAGGGTAGACTGCCAGGGTAGACTGCCAGGGTAGACTGCCAGGGTAGACTGCCAGGGTAGACTGCCAGGGTAGACTGCCAGGGTAGACTGCCAGGGTAGACTGCCAGGGTAGACTGCCAGGGTAGACTGCCAGGGTAGACTGCCAGGGTAGACTGCCAGGGTAGACTGCCAGGGTAGACTGCCAGGGTAGACTGCCAGGGTAGACTGCCAGGGTAGACTGCCAGGGTAGACTGCCAGGGTAGACTGCCAGGTAGACTGCCAAGGTAGACTTGCTCAAGCATGTATATGTTGAGTGTTCTGGGTGATGCATCAGAGAGCCAATACGCCACAGCCTGGTGGATCAAGTGTAGAGCATCAATGCGTGCAAAAAAGACCAGGGACGCAGTTTCAATCCCATTCCATAGCCCCACCATTTTTCTTCGCCCGTATATTACATGAAACTGTGGAACTAGAGAGAATCATATATTCCATAGTACAGTTTTTCACTGTTTGTGTTCACCGGTAACTGGTCTCTTGGTTGGCCACAACGTAAGAAATATAATGTACTAACCTAACCAGAAGCGGATAAGCCTAAGCAACCAACTAGTCCTCGCAAATTCGTATAGTCAATATTGACTTATTAAATAAGTGCATAGGTGATATACTAAACATAATAGATACCCTTAAAAAGCTTCATAGAAAACACCGACCTTACCTAACCTACTTAGTATGTTAAGATAAGCATCTTATTGCTTCGTAATTACAATTGTTACTTAACCTATAATAGGTATAGGTTAAGTAATAATTGTAATTACGAAGCAATAAGATGCTTATCTTAAGATACTAACAAGGTTAGGTAAGGTCGGTGTTTTCTATGAAGCTTTTTAAGGGTATCTATTATGTTTAGTATGTCACCTATGCACGTATTTAATAAGTCAATATTGACTATACGAATTTGCAAGAACGGGTTGAAGCAACCCACCTAACCCAACAAAGCCGATACGTAGAAAACGTGGATTTTCGTGAACAGCAACTTTTCATAGTTCATCGTTTTTTGGACGTAGGAGACCATAAGGTACGAGGTGACACACTGTTTGAGAGACCTTACCTACCTTGTGTACCTTCCGGGGTACAACGGCCCCGCGGCCCGATCTCCGACCAGGCTTCCCGGTTGCTGGACTGGTCAACCAGGCTGTTGGACGCGGCTGCTCGCAGCCTTACGTATGAGTCACAGCCTGGTTGATCCAGGTATTCTTTGGAGGTGTTTATCAAGTTCTCTCTTGAACACTGTGAGAGGCCAGCCTTACCACCCACTAGGGGCCTTGTGGCTGAGTGGACAGCGCTCCCGGGTTGTAGTCCTAAGGGCTCGGGTTCGATTTCCGGCAGAAACAAAAATGGGCAGAGTTTCTTTCACCCTGATGTAGTGATGGAGAACTGGCAGTTCTGATGTTAGCCAACCTCGCATACGCCGCAGATGTTATTCTTTTTATGTGGGCTTCAGGAGACAGGTTTGGTGTGATATCGACTCCTCTCTGTCCGTTTCATGAAGGACTTCATCTCCCATTCCGTATCCGGTGTCTGGCCTCCTGTTTCCTCCGCCTAGTTTCATTACCATACATTTACTCGGATTGAACTTTAGTAGCCATTTGTTAGACCATTCATTCAGTCTGTCTAGGTCATCTTGTAGCCTCCTCCTATCTTCCTGTCTTAATCTTCCTCATAATTTTTGCATCGTTATCAAACAATGAGAGGAACGATTCTGTATCCTCTGGGAGATCATTTACATATATCAAACAGTATAGGTCCAAGGACTAAAACCCTGTGGGACTCCACTGATGACGCCTCGCCAATCCGAGACCTCACCCCTCAGTGACTCGCTGTCTTCTGTTGCTAGGTAAGATTACCTTCCCTTTCACTCTTGCCTATTCTCCAGCTTGTGCGCTAGTCTCTTGTGTGTGGCACTGTGTCAAAGGCTTTCTGACAATCCAAAAATATGCAGTCTACCCATCCCTCTCTTTCTTGCCTGATTTGTGTTGCTTGGTCGTAGAATTCAAGTAACCCTGTGAGGCAGGACCTGCTATCCCTGAACCCATGTTGATGCTGTGTTACAAAGTTCTTTCGCTCCAGGTGTTCCATTAGCTTTCTTCGCACAATCTTCTCCATCAGCTTGCATGGTATGCAGGTTAGGGACACTGGCCTGTAGTTCAGTGCGCGCGCGCGGGTGCGTGTGTACATCATGTGTGTCAAGATAAGTCATAATTACCTCCCACAACAACACAATTGTTTATGACTCTGATAATTGTATTTACGTTAATTTAATGACTTGTTAAACGGTGTTTTAGTATTTTTTGTTTTGTTGAAAAGTCCACTTAATTTTTATGGTGGGCCCCCCCCCCCTTCCTCCTCGCCGCCGCCGCCGCCAGGGTCAGAGCGGGGGCGGGGGCCGGTGGTGGTGTCCACAACTGGAGGGCGGCCGCTACACCGCCTCGCGCCTCTCTCACCCCACCCGACCTGTGGTGTGTGTACTCACCTAGTTGTGCTTGTGGGGGGGGGGGGGGTTGAGCTCTGGCTCTTTGGTCCCGCCTATCAACTGGTGTACAGGTTCCTGAGCCTACTGGGCTCTATCATATCTACACTTGAAACTGTGTATGGAGTCAGCCTCCACCACATCACTGCCTAATGCCTTCCATCCGTTAACTACTCTGACACTGAAAAAGTTCTTTCTAACGTCTCTGTGGCTGTGGGAGGGGGGGGGGAGGGTCTGGCACCAGTGCCTGCCCAACCCCTTCACTCCTCCATAAACAGTGTAGCCAGGCCCACGATTCCTCAAGTATTTACCCAGTCACTGACGAAACCTATACATCTTTCCTCAATTATGGCAACTGTGTTTACATTTAGTAAACAGTTTACCAGCTTGTAAACTTCACAACACAAGGTTGTTATTGTTATAAACAACCTCGTATTGCTTCGGTGGTCATAACCTGTTTAATATATGTAAACACAGCCGCCATGATTGTGGAAAGATGTAGAGGTTTCGTATTGGGTTGATTAATACTGGTTTTGGCTACTGAGTTACTCGAGGGTAGCCCTCAGTGTAGTCTGGGGGCCCCCGAGGGCAGCCCTCAGTGTAGTCTGGGGGCCCCCGAGGGCAGCCCTCAGTGTAGTCTGGGGGCCCCCGAGGGCAGCCCTCAGTGTAGTCTGGGGGCCCCCGAGGGCAGCCCTCAGTGTAGTCTGGGGGCCCCCGAGGGCAGCCCTCAGTGTAGTCTGGGGGGGGGGGCTAGAGTAGCCCTTTGAATTTGTGAGAGTGACCTTGTAATAAGGCAAAACTTGGGACACTGACGACTTGTCTGGTGACCGTGACTTAGCCTCGACACTTTCTCAATACTGAGAGAGTCTAGACTTTGTTGTTGTCTTAGATTGAGCTTCTAGGAACAAGAGTTACAAGCAGCACGGGCTATGGTGAGCCCGTAGTGGACTGAGGCTATCTACCTGGGTCAAAAGGTCTCGTGGCTTCCAATTTCGGTTCAGGAGTGATATGTGGAAGTATTTGTACATAAATAGGAACGTGGGTAAGTGAAAGAAGGCTGCCAGCAGGTATTATTCAGTTTTATATGATTTAAAGAGCAGATTGGGTAAGTACATGGTGAATAAATTACTAAGTAGGCCTTCTGCAGTGCTCCATTAAGTTGGAAAAAGTTAAATACCTGGTTGATACCTGGTTGATGGGGTTCTGGGAGTTGTTCTACTCCCCAAGCCCGGCCCGAGGCCAGACTTGACTTGTGAGAGTTTGGTCCAAGTCCAAGTTTAAAAAGTTCCAGGGGGATCTTTTTAACCAGGTAATTTTCCCTTTCCCCATGTATTCCCGTTTCCCGGATTAAAGATGCTCCCTTGTACAGCGGATGTTCGGATACCCCAAGAACGCGCGGGCACTTGTCAACAAAAACCTCTGACGCAAATAGGGAACCTGTCGTGATTGGCTCTCGCGCCAGGGCTGCCAACCGTCCCACACCATACATCTTCTAAAAGAATCTGATGCTCCTTTTGAATCGCTTTTAAATGTGAGGAATTGATTAGTAATGCTATGTATAATAATGTATGTTGATATTTACTTAATCAAATCTCCAGTGGGATTGTAAAAAGAGTCTGACACAAGGGTGATTATTTGGTAATTATTTGGTAGCGTTGGTAACGTGTTGAAGGGGGCGGAGCTACAACGCGAGGCTATGCACGTATAATAATGAAATCCAGGTGAGCGGGTCCAGTTACAGGAAGGTGGAGGTCGAGGGAGGGCACGCGCACCCCTCCTACTCACCACACACACACATTATACAAGTTACCAACTCCTATATTACACAGCAGTGCGGTTGAAGCTATCGGAGAACATTACTTGCAGTCTTGTGCTTGAAACTGAATCTTTACGCGCGAAAGAGAGTTCCTTTTTCATGAGAAACATTGAGTTATTGAACGTAAAGTGACATACGACTGGAGAAATAAGATATGGTGTATAGAGTGAAGGTGTGAATGATCTGACGGGAAAGTGTGGATCATTGCCTGGTAGCGTGAGCGTTGAGGTCGCCACGATGGTGGGAGTGGTGAGGGACCTGGTGGTGCCCATGAAGGCAGGAGAGGTGAAGGGAGAAGAAGCCGTGTTTACCATAGTGTGTGAGATACTAACGACTCCGGTGGTGCAAGATGAGGCGGGCCAGGCCCAGGTGTCCACGCTATGGAAGGTGAGGAGCAGCTGTGTGCTGCACCAGGAGCAGCTCCATACACCTCCCGCCACCTGTCACCACCTGCTTCCTTCCCTCCACCAGGCGGCGCAAGTGTGTGCTTCTTATTGATGTCTTAGATATAATACTTTGTGCTCTTTACCTGTCTTTACCCGAGGGTCATCTCTAGTGGCCTCTACGTGAAGGGCCACCGTCTCTAGTGGCCTCCACGGGTACCTGAGTTTACCCGAGGGCTACCATCTTTAGTGGCCTCCACGGGATGTCCTCTGCCACTGTTCGTGGGTAACAGTGTACAGGTTGTGTGGGTTACTGCAGCTCCGGAAAGCCAAGCCTTTCCATCCCAGACTCCTGAAAAGTTGGAAGTTTTGACCAAATAATGAAATTTTCCACCTCAGCCCCCCTGTGGTGGGGGAGGAAATCCTTGTCCCCTCCTGCTGGGGGTCGGGAGAGATTTTCCCCACTTTCTGGGGTGGGGGCAGAGACCTCCCCTCTCTCCCCCAACCCCACACAGAAGGGGGCCTCGCGGCTGAGTTGACAGCGTTTGTGGAGTCGTAGTCCTAAGGGCCCGGGTTCGATTCCCGGCTGAGGCAGAAACAAATGGGCAAAGTTTCTTTCACCCGATGCCCCCTGTTCATCTAACATAACTGCCAGCTGATAGGTCCTTGGGGGTTAGACAGCTGCTACGGGCTGCTTCCTGGGGATGTGCGTGTGTGTTAGAAACATACGTAGTAGACATTATAGAGGAAAAATAGATTGGTTAGGAAAGTGGGGTCCAGGAGCTAATAGCTTGATTCTGCAGACAAATAGTAAATATAAGTACACACACACACAGTGGGCAATATGCAGCTCCAGCCTGGAGTCCATACCTAGGTAAACACAAGACAAAGTTAGAGAAAATTCAGCGGTATGCCACCAAACTGGTCCCGTTCCTGAAAACAGAAGAGTAAGGGGAGACATCATAACAACCTACAAAATTCTCAGGAGAATTGACAGGGTGGACAAAGACAAACTCTTCAGCACGGGTGGAACACGAACAAGGGGACACAGGTGGAAACTTAGTACCCAAATGAGCCACAGGGGACGTAAGAAGGAACTTTTTCAGTGTCAGAGTAGTTAATAAATGGAATGCATTAGGCAGTGATGTGGTGGAGGCTGACTCCATACACAGTTTCAAATGTAGATATGATAGAGCCCAATAGGCTCAGGAACCTGTACACCAGTTGATTGACAGTTGAGAGGCGGGACCAAAGAGCCAGAGCTTAATCCCCGCAAGCACTAATAGATAAGTATACACACACCCACAGTCATCATACATGCAGACTTCGTTATACAAGCTCCTTGGGAATCGCTGCCAGCAGATTTTAAGATTATGGTTCTTGAAGGAAAAAAAAAGAACCAGACAAATCCTCATCTGCTACGTAACATTGCACAGATGCATATAGAAGCAAACTTGGCATCCGGCAGCTTCACTTACTTCACAGATGGATCAGTAGACCAGCAGGGACAAGAAACCGGAGCTGCAGTTAAGGCAGGAAACTCTGTAAATAGTTGGAGGCTCTCAAATGGGTGTTCGACTTTACAGAGATGCTAGCCATTCAAAAGGCTTTGGAACCTGCTCTTGCTGAACACCGACAACATGTTATCTTACATACAGATTCGAAAACTGCCATTGAAACTTGCAACAAGAACACATATGTGATAACATCCATCTGATCACAAATGTCATATCATTAATGCAAACACTCAAACGACAAGGCCGACGGGTACTTATCAACTGGGTGCAAAGTCATGTGGGAATAATAGGAAATGACATTGCAGACGAAGCTGCAAAACTTGCAACTAAGAGAAGAAATGTAGACATTTACATACCACAGAGTCTATCATAGATTAAGAAAGTAATTAGAAACAGAACAATGCAGGTGATGTACAGTGACCACAGCACAGCAGTTGCAACATCAGGATCTGCGGGTTGGTACAAGAATTCAACCAACTACGAACCACTTAGTTTGATGAAAGGGAACAGTAGAGCAACAGAAGTGCACTTACATCGCATCAGGCTTGGATACCCATGTGCATGGGAAATAGGCTTACAGGTTCCCGAAGATGAGAGGAAATGTCAGCACTGTGGAGAAATGTCCGACAGACCACTGGAACATTATCTAACACAGTGCACAGTTACAGCCACAACAGACCACTGGAACATTATCTAACACAGTGCACAGTTACAGCCACAAAAGACCACTGGAACATTATCTAACACAGTGCACAGTTACAGCCACAACAGACCACTGGAACATTATCTAACGGTGCACAGTTACACACACACACACGCACATCTTATCACCACCCCTCCCCCCCCCCCTCCCCGCAACTCTCCCACACTTTACCTCAAATTACCCGAGGGCATCTCTCTCTTTATTGATCTGGAAGAGGACAGGAAGCCGGCGGCTTGCCAAAAAGTCCCCCTCATAAATCCTGATGATTTGGTCAACCTGGATTTTGAAATTCGGCCATGTTTTTGGCATTTACGGCATCGGCGGGTAGGCGGTTCCACGGGTTAATAACCCTGTGGTTGAAAATGCAACCCGGGTCACTTGATAGGTGTGGGGCAGTGCCCCTGGGGGTGTACTCACCTAGTTATGCTTGTGGGGGTTGAGCTCTGGCTCTTTGGTCCCGCCTCTCAACTGTCAATCAACTGGTGTACAGGTTCCTGAGCCTATTGGGATCTATCATATCTACACTTGAAACTGTGTATGGAGTCAGCCTCCACCACATCACTGCCTAATGCATTCCATTTGTCAACAACTCTGACACTAAAAAAAAGTTCTTTCTAATGTCTGTGGCTCATCTGGGTACTAAGTTTCCACCTGTGTCCCCTTGTTCGTGTCCCACCCGTGCTGAAGAGTTTGTCTTTGTCCACCCTGTCAATTACTCTGAGAATTTTGTAGGTGGTTATCATGTCTCCCCTTACTCTTCTGTCTTCCAGGGATGTGAGGTTCAGCTCACTTAGCCTTTCCTCGTAGCTCATGCCTCTCAGTTCCAGGACAAGTCTGGTGGCATACCTCTGAATCTTCTTTTAACTTTGTCTTGTGTTTAACTAGGTATGGATTCCAGACTGGAGCTGCATGCTCCAGGATTGGTCTGATATAGGTGGTATACAAGATCCTGAACGATTCCTTACACAAGTTTCTAAAGGCAGTTCTTATGTTGGCCAACCTAGCATATGCCGCTGATGATATCCTTTTGATGTGGGCCTCTGGGGACAGGTTCGGTGTGATAACCCCCAGATCTTTCTCTCTATTTGACTCTTACAGGATTTCACCTAGATGGTACCTTGTGTTCAGCCTTCTGCTCCCTTCGCCTAATTTCATTACTTTACACTTTCCATAGTTGAACTTTAGTAGCCATTTTCTAAACCATTCTTCCAGTTTGTCCAGGTCATCCTGTAGTCTCTATCTTCATCTGTCTTAATTCTTCTCATAATTTTTGCATCATCAGCAAAATCAACAACCCTATAGAAGATTGTTTACATATATTGGAAACAAGATGGGTTCAAGTAAAGAGCCCTGTGGGACTCCACTGGTGACATCTCGCCACTCTGATGTCTTCCCCTCACAGTTACTCGCTGTTTCCTGTTGCTTAGATACTCCCTTATCCACTGGAACACCTTACCTTTCACTCCTGCCTGTTGCTCCAACTTTTGTAACAGCTTATTATGGAGTACTGTGTCAAAGGCTTTCTGACAGTCCAAGAAAATGCAGTCTGCCCACACCTCTTTCTTGCCTAATTTTTGTTTGTTTGCTTGGTCATAGAATTCTATTAATCCTATGAGGCACGATTTACCATCTCTGAACCCATGCTGGTGTGTGATACAAAGTTATTTCCCTCCAGATGCTCTACGAGCCTTTTCCTCACGATCTTCTCCATCACCTTGCATGGTATACAAGTTAGGGAAACTGGCCTGTAGTTCAGTGCCTCTTGCCTGTCACCCTTTTTATAAATTGGGACTACATTAGCTGTCTTCCAACTTTCCGGAAGGTCTCCTGTTTCCAGTGACTTGTTACACCATGGAGAGTGGCACACTTAGTGCTTCTGCACCTTCCTTTAGTATCCACGGTGAGATTCTGTCAGGCCCAACAGTCTTTGTCACATTCAGCTGCAACATATTCCTTTTGACCTCATCACGGGTGAGGTCAAAATCCTCCAAGGTTGCTTGGTTTGCCTCCTCCTCATGTAATGCAGTGACCTCTCCTCGTTCTATTGTGAAGATCTCCTGGAATCTCTTGTTGAGTTCTTCACACACCTCCTTGTCATTCTCTGTGTATTTGTTCTCCCCTTTTCTCAGTTTCAACACTTGTTCCTTAACTGCTGTTTTCCTCCTGATGTGACTGTGGAGCAGCTTTGGTTGGGTCTTGGCTTTACTCGCGATGCCATTTTCATACTGTGTGTCTGCTTCTCTCCTCACTCTGAGGTACTCATTCCTGGCCCTCTGATATCTCTCCCTGCTCTCTGGTGTTCTGTTATTTCTGTAGTTTCTCCATGTTCTTGTACTCAATTGCTTCGCTACCTCGCATTCCTGGTTGACCCATGGATTCTTCTGTTGCTTTTAATTGTTCTCCTTTTGGGCCAGGATAAACCTGTCTGCAGCTTCCTGGCACTTCTGGGTGACATAGTCCATCATATCCTGTACAGTCTTCTCTTCGAGTTCTGTTTTCCATGGTATTCCTATTAGAAAGTTCCTCATTTCGTCATACTTTCCTCTTCGGTAATTTAGTCTATTTCCTTCCGATCCCATCCTTGGATAGGTTATCCTTACCTCTACCAGACACTCAAATGTCAATACACTGTGGCCACTCATTCCTATGGAGTCTGGATCCATTCCTGCAGGCAACTGAAGCTGCTCTCTCTATTATATTATTGGTTGCAATGTTGTTCCTATCAAACTCCTGTCTGGATCTTCTATCATTATGTGGAAAGTTGTAAATGACTGCCACTATTATCTTAGGTCCACCCATTGTCATAGTTCATGTTATGTAGTCTCTGAATCCTTCACAACCTGGAATTTCCATCTGAAAACTCTAGTTTTTCCTTTTTAGCAGGGGCCACTCCTCTCTCTTTCCTCTCTTTCCTTACTATATAGTAGTCCTTTGGAAACATGGAGTTTATGACTCCTGACAGTTTTGTTTCTGTGAGTCCTATTACATCTGGGTTTTCTTCCTTTGCCCTTTCCGTCTGTTCACTTGCTTTATTGGTAATCCAATCAGTGTTTGTGTACCTTACCTTGAAGCTCACTTTCCTATACCCCTTGTCACACTGGTATAGGAAGCCGTCCCAAGGGCAGGGCTACTTTGGTAGGCTCATCCTCGTGTGGGGTAGTTGCCAGGGGGTTCAGGGGGAGGTGGGGGTGGGGGATGATGGGCATAGATCTTGCCTGGATCTGCTTGGGGCAGGAAGACGACCAGGGGGTGAGAGGGTATGTGGGGGGCAGCGTCCCCCGGGGGGTGGACACCCACAGTTGTAATCAGCATCATTATAAAGTTTATCGAGTCATTGTACAACATGAGTATCACATCTGCCCCTCGAATAGATAGTACGGATAGTGACTGTACAAAACATGTACAGTTGTATCGGATGAAGTCGATATTTTGTACTCTGGTGTACTGAGAGGTACAACGGTACAGCATCAATGTGCTGTACAATGTAAGCCCAAATGTGCAATCATGGCCTGATGTACGCAATGTTAGATCAATTTTAGTACATTTGTGTGCTATGTTAGGCCTATGGGAGGTGGTTGTGTACTCTCCTGGAGGCTTTACCAACTCTATAGTACATAATATGTCCATGTGTTGGTGTACAATAGTGTGTATTTTGTACATACTGTCCATAGTCGCTATATGTACTATGTTGTACATACTGTCCATAGTCGCTATATGTACTATTTTGTACATACTGTCCATAGTCGCTATATGTACTATGTTGTACATACCGTCCATAGTCGCTATATGTACTATTTTGTACATACTGTCCATAGTCGCTATATGTACTATTTTGTACATACTGTCCATAGTCGCTATATGTACTATTTTGTACATACTGTCCATAGTCGCTATATGTACTATGTTGTAGAATAATGCTAATCAGCTCACAGTTGGTTGGACGGAAAGGGCTCGTTAGCTTTCACCTGATGTCTCTGTCCACCTGTAAGTAATTAATCCCATCACGCCAAAAAATTGTGTAACAGTACAAATGTCAAAATGAGCTGAAAGATAGTGATCATTTCTCAGATCTTATCGCTCAGTTCCCTAATAGATTCTTCTAGAAGCCGTTGTCATCCTGACCTTAGTTCGTCGTGTTTTTAACGGAGTCCACCAAGACGTTAGAAATGCGACGTGTTAGTAAATGTTAATGGATCGAAATATTGACGTATTCTGTGCATCGGCCTCGATGGGTTAGGTGGGTTGATTGGGTTCGTAAGTTTCAGGCTAGGCAGAGCGGTTGTATTTTTAAAGTTTCTGGCTAGGCAGAGCGGTTGTATTTTTAAAGTTTCAGGCTAGGCAGAACGGTTGTATTTTTAAAGTTTCAGGCTAGGCAGAGCGGTTGTATTTTTAAAGTTTCTGACTAGGCAGAGCGGTTGTATTTTTAAAGTTTCAGGCTAGGCAGAACGGTTGTATTTTTAAAGTTTCTGGCTAGGCAGAGCGGTTGTATTTTTAAAGTTTCAGGCTAGGCAGAACGGTTGTATTTTTAAAGTTTCTGGCTAGGCAGAGCGGTTGTATTTTTAAAGTTTCAGGCTAGGCAGAGCGGTTGTATTTTTAAAGTTTCAGGCTAGGCAGAGCGGTTGTATTTTTAAAGTTTCAGGCTAGGCAGAACGGTTGCATTTTTAAAGTTTCAGGCTAGGCAGAACGGTTGTATTTTTAAAGTTTCAGGCTAGGCAGAACGGTTGTATTTTTAAAGTTTCAGGCTAGGCAGAACGGTTGTATTTTTAAAGTTTCAGGCTAGGCAGAGCGGTTGTATTTTTAAAGTTTCAGGCTAGGCAGAGCGGTTGCATTTTTAAAGTTTCAGGCTAGGCAGAACGGTTGCATTTTTAAAGTTTCAGGCTAGGCAGAACGGTTGTATTTTTAAAGTTTCAGGCTAGGCAGAGCGGTTGTATTTTTAAAGTTTCAGGCTAGGCAGAGCGGTTGTATTTTTAAAGTTTCAGGCTAGGCAGAGCGGTTGTATTCTCTGCAAAGTTGCAAACCAGGAGAAGAGACTTGGAACTCACCCAAAATTATATTCCCACAACATAATTGTGCTTGTCGACGTTCATTTTCGCGGAAAAACTTCAAAATTCAATTCGAGGACAAGGTGAAGAGTTGTGGGGACTTGTGTAACTTGTTAAGTGATTGTTGTAAAGGTTTAATTGATGTTTGCTGAGGATTTATTTTTTTGCCTTTGATTTACCTGTGTGATGTTATTTAGGTTGTATTTCAAACATGAATGTTAAATTTCCTCTCAACTCTTAAATTTTCTCTCTTGACCCTTGGGTAGGACCGATGGTCATCAAGTATTTACTTAATCACTTACGAAACCTGTACATCTTTCCTCAATCATGGCGGCTGTGTTTACATATAGTAAACAGTTTACCAGCTTGTAAACTCCACAACACAAGGTTGTTATTGTTATAAACAACCTCGTAGTGCCTCGGTGATCATAACCTGTTTATGTAAACACAGCCGCCATGATTGTGGAAAGATGTAGAGGTTTCGTATCTAATTGCTTAAGTGCTTGATATCCTGGTTCTGGTGTGTGCGCGTGCGCTCACGCACACACTGTACCAATGAATGTACACACAATATTATACAAGTGAACAGCCTCATTATTGTTTGTTCTGAATTATAAAGCTGCCATAGACCTGTTGGTCCATGTGATGTACTTTGTTGTATTTACATAAAGGTTGTGGGATTGCAGTGTGACTTGTGTACTAACGAACTGTTGGTGTTTGCAGATGGCATCAGCGTGGCGCGTGATCTCCTTCTTCCTGGTGGTGTTTGTGCTGCCCACCGTCCTCATCTCCCTGCCCCTGTATGCCCGCTACCACCTCTACCATGCCCGCCACATGCCCATGACGGAGACCGACACCCGGGCCCTCAACCATGCCGTCTCCTCCTTCTGGTGTCAGGTAGGCTACACCAGTCTGTTGCTGCTGGCACCGGGTACACCAGTCTGTTGCTGCTGGCACCGGGTACACCAGTCTGTTGTTGCTGGCACCGGGTACACCAGCCTGTTGCTGCTGGCACCGGGTACACCAGTCTGTTGCTGCTGGCACCGGGTACACCAGCCTGTTGCTGCTGGCACCGGGTACACCAGTCTGTTGCTGCTGGCACCGGGTACACCAGCCTGTTGCTGCTGGCACCGGGTACACCAGTCTGTTGCTGCTGGCACCGGGTACACCAGTCTGTTGCTGCTGGCACCGGGTACACCAGTCTGTTGCTGCTGGCACCGGGTACACCAGTCTGTTGCTGCTGGCACCGGGTACACCAGTCTGTTGCTGCTGGCACCGGGTACACCAGCCTGTTGCTGCTGGCACCGGGTACACCAGTCTGTTGCTGCTGGCACCAGGTACACCAGTCTGTTGCTGCTGGCACCGGGTACACCAGCCTGTTGCTGCTGGCACCGGCTACACCAGTCTGTTGTTGCTGGCACCGGGTACACCAGTCTGTTGCTGCTGGCACCGGGTACACCAGCCTGTTGCTGCTGGCACCGGGTACACCAGTCTGTTGCTGCTGGCACCGGCTACACCAGTCTGTTGCTGCTGGCACCGGGTACACCAGTCTGTTGCTGCTGGCACCGGGTACACCAGTCTGTTGTTGCTGGCACCGGGTACACCAGCCTGTTGCTGCTGGCACCGGGTACACCAGTCTGTTGCTGCTGGCACCGGGTACACCAGCCTGTTGCTGCTGGCACCGGGTACACCAGTCTGTTGCTGCTGGCACCGGGTCCACCAGCCTGTTGCTGCTGGCACCGGGTACACCAGCCTGTTGCTGCTGGCACCGGGTACACCAGCCTGTTGCTGCTGGCACCGGGTACACCAGTCTGTTGTTGCTGGCACCGGGTACACCAGTCTGTTGTTGCTGGCACCGGGTACACCAGTCTGTTGCTGCTGGCACCGGGTACACCAGTCTGTTGCTGCTGGCACCGGGTACACCAGCCTGTTGCTGCTGGCACCGGGTACACCAGTCTGTTGCTGCTGGCACCGGGTACACCAGCCTGTTGCTGCTGGCACCGGGTACACCAGTCTGTTGCTGCTGGCACCGGGTACACCAGCCTGTTGCTGCTGGCACCGGGTACACCAGCCTGTTGCTGCTGGCACCGGGTACACCAGCCTGTTGCTGCTGGCACCGGGTACACCAGTCTGTTGTTGCTGGCACCGGGTACACCAGTCTGTTGTTGCTGGCACCGGGTACACCAGTCTGTTGCTGCTGGCACCGGGTACACCCGCCTGCTGCTGCTGGCACCGGGTACACCCGCCTGCTGCTGCTGGCACCGGGTACACCAGTCTGTTGTTGCTGGCACCGGGTACACCAGTCTGTTGTTGCTGGCACCGGGTACACCAGTCTGTTGCTGCTGGCACCGGGTACACCAGCCTGTTGCTGCTGGCACCGGGTACACCAGCCTGTTGCTGCTGGCACCGGGTACACCAGCCTGTTGCTGCTGGCACCGGGTTCAACTCCCACCAACTTCAAACTCAAAATTTACACTTAAAAAAAGACATTCCCAAAGTATTGTAGCTATAAAAGAATGACGAGGTGTACAGCAAGGACTCAAGAGATGTGTAAATATTTCATTCCCAGTGATCCATCACCTACAAGTTGAGCCAATTATCCCCAGTTTGTTAACTGTAGGTAGTTAATGTGACTGTAACCCCAGGGGTGGGGGGGGGTGCAGGATAAACATATATGTAGCTCTCTACATATGTAATTTGCTGAGCTTAGGGACTGTACTTGTGGTCGGTCTCCAACCGGTCGTTGATAGTACATTATAAGAACAAAGATAACTGCAGAAGGCCTATTGGCCCCTACGAGGCAGCTCCTATCTATAACCACCCAATCCCATTCATATACATGTCCAACCCGCGCTTGAAACAATCGAGATCGATTGAAACAATCGAAACAACGTTTTACAAAATGTAATGTATATTATCAAGACTAACTTGACTAAATGTAATTGTGGGGTTCGATCCCTGAGCCCGTTATGTGCCTCTGTAACCCTCTCCACTGCCGCCCACAGGATGGGTATGGGGTGCATAATAAATGAACTAAACAAAAACAAACCATAATAGGTGTTGACTGAGGAAAGATGTACAGGTTTCGCAAGCGGTCACTTAACGTGATGAACCGCGGGTCCACTTTGATATCTTAGTCCCTCATGCTCAAGTGGTGACGCCTTGTTTCCATTTGCCCCAAACGTAAGAAATGCGACTGTTTCACCTAACCAGAAACGTAACAAACGCGACCGTTTAGCCTAACCCACAAATATAATGCCACTATTTAGTCTAGCCAAAAGACTAAACGAACCCAAGCAACCCACCTAACCTATCGAAGACTATGCATAGAAAACGTCAATATTATGTTGCTTTACTCAGCACTAATACACCGCATTTTTAACGTAATTAAAGAATCCGTTAAAAAATGAGACGCATTAAGTGAGAGGACAGGTTGTGTTAAAGGCGTACCCCTTCCCCCCCAGGCTGGAGACCGTTACGATAAAAACCGTTAATTCAAATTCAAAAACCAGAAATTCAAATTCCAGAAACGGTCTGTACATATTTAATCGTTTACATTCAATGACATTATATTATTAGGTCGTAATATCAACATAGCGCGCGATACAAGTGATTACAATCGTATACTCTATTTAGAATTTAGATTTAGTTAACATGTCAATGATTTATCAAATTAGAGAAGATAGTGTTAGGACGAGAGACGCATTTTACTGTCGGTGACTTTGTGTGTTGGTCAGTGGCTCTCTTGTCTAGAGTTGTTGAAGTGTTTTGTAATGTGCTCATCCGTGAACTTTCCTGCTTGGTAATATATGCGGGACGATAGTAGAGGGCTCTATGGTGGCTCTTGGTGTAGTCTGGGGGCTCTATGGTGGCTCTTGGTGTAGTGTGGGGGATCTATGGTGGCTCTTGGTGTGGTGTGGGGCTCTATGGTGGCTCTTGGTGTAGTGTGGGGGCTCTATGGTGGCTCTTGGTGTAGTGTGGGGCTCTATGGTGGCTCTTGGTGTAGTGTGGGGGCTCTATGGTGGCTCTTGGTGTGTGGGGGCTCTATGGTGGCTCTTGGTGTGTGGGGGCTCTATGGTGGCTCTTGGTGTAGTGTGTGGGGCTCTATGGTGGCTCTTGGTGTAGTGTGTGGGGCTCTATGGTGGCTCTTGGTGTGTGGGGGGCTCTATGGTGGCTCTTGGTGTAGTGTGTGGGGCTCTATGGTGGCTCTTGGTGTAGTGTGGGGGCTCTATGGTGGCTCTTGGTGTAGTGTGGTGGCTCTATGGTGGCTCTTGGTGTGTGGGGGCTCTATGGTGGCTCTTGGTGTAGTGTGTGGGGCTCTATGGTGGCTCTTGGTGTGTGTGGGGGCTCTTGGTGTAGTGTGGATGCTCTATGGTGGCTCTTGGTGTAGTGTGGGAGCTCTATGGTGGCTCTTGGTGTAGTGTGTGGGGCTCTATGGTGGCTCTTGGTGTAGTGTGGGGGCTCTATGGTGGCTCTTGGTGTAGTGTGGGGCTCTATGGTGGCTCTTGGTGTGTGTGGGGGCTCTATGGTGGCTCTTGATGTGTGTGGGGGCTCTATGGTGGCTCTTGGTGTAGTGTGTGGGGCTCTATGGTGGTTCTTGGTGTGTGTGGGGGCTCTTGGTGTAGTGTGGATGCTCTATGGTGGCTCTTGGTGTAGTGTGGGGGCTCTATGGTGGCTCTTGGTGTAGTGTGTGGGGCTCTATGGTGGCTCTTGGTGTTGTGTGGGGGCTCTATGGTGGCTCTTGGTGTAGTGTGTGGGGCTCTATGGTGGCTCTTGGTGTGTGTGGGGGCTCTATGGTGGCTCTTGGTGTAGTGTGTGGGGCTCTATGGTGGCTCTTGGTGTGTGTGGGGGCTCTTGGTGTAGTGTGGATGCTCTATGGTGGCTCTTGGTGTAGTGTGGGGGCTCTATGGTGGCTCTTGGTGTAGTGTGGGGGCTCTATGGTGGCTCTTGGTGTAGTGTGTGGGGCTCTATGGTGGCTCTTGGTGTAGTGTGTGTGGCTCTATGGTGGCTCTTGGTGTAGTGTGTGGCTCTATGGTGGCTCTTGGTGTAGTGTGTGGCTCTATGGTGTAGTGTGGGGGTTCTATGGTGGCTCTTGGTGTAGTGTGGGGCTCTGTGGTGGCTCTTGGTGTAGTGTGTGGCTCTAGGGTGGCTCTTTGAGTAGTCTGGGGCTCTAGGGTGGCTCTTGGTGTAGTGTGTGGCTCTATAGTGGCTCTTGGTGTGGTGTGGGGTTCTAGGGTGGCTCTTGGTGTAGTGTGTGGCTCTAGGGTGGCTCTTGGTGTAGTGTGGGGCTCTAGGGTGGCTCTTGGTGTAGTCTGGGGCTCTAGGGTGGCTCTTGGTGTAGTGTGGGGCTCTATGGTGGCTCTTGGTGTGGTGTGGGGCTCTAGGGTGGTTCTTGGTGTAGTGTGTGGCTCTAGGGTGGCTCTTGGTGTAGTGTGTGGCTCTAGGGTGGCTCTTGGTGTAGTGTGTGGGGCTCTATGGTGGCTCTTGGTGTGGTGTGGGGCTCTATGGTGGCTCTTGGTGTGGGGCTCTAGGGTGGCTCTTGGTATAGTCTGGGGGGCTCTAGGGGTAGCCCCTTATATAGTCTGGAATAGCTGTATAACTTCTCGCGCACCAAAGTATTGTAAACATTCAAATCTGAATGACTGTACCATAGATAACGGTACTGTTTGTCGACAGGGTCAACGGGTGACGAGTAACGGGACGTTGGACGCCTTCCTGGTGGCGGGGACGCCGCAGCTGCTGGAACAACGGCGCCATGTCACCCTCAAGAGGAACCTGACGCTCCGTCATGACGACATAGAGTACTGGGGCGTCTACCTCCTCCAGGGCTCGACCTTTGCCCTCTCCTCCTGCTCCAGGTTAGTCTTCACGACAGTCTAACTTGGACCGTTGTCACCCAGTTAGTTGAAGCTGATTCTCGTTAGTCCCTGATGCGCATGGTAACGTTCATTTGTCATTATTTGTAAGATTTGTTTAGATAATTCTGTATAAAATGCATAGTTTGTATACGTTTTTATGGCATTAGGATCCAGCACCTTTAATAATTCTTTCATTTTTTGTTCTTATGTTTGAGGAATGAGAGTTTGAAGTATTCACTGTGAGAAGATTTTTTGAAACACAAATTTGAAATTTTTTTGGCTTCGAACTGGAACGAGTCTAACGGAAGCATTCTTGCAGGTGGCCCGGCGGTGTGCTGCTGGTGGTGCGCGGCGAAGACAACCTCCGCAAGTGCTTCTACCGAGAACACCGTCTGGAGAACGAGCTGAACGGCGGAACATCACCAGTTCAAAATGTGTACAAGAGTCCGCCCGACGTAGAGGAGGAAGATGGCGGCGAAATATCAGAACAACGCCACTGGGAAGACGAGAATGTTGGCGGTGAAGTGTTTGATGATGATTATGAAGAGAGAACAAAAGACGGCCATAGTGATCTTTCACCACTCGCTCCTAATGATAAGATCAGGCTGCACAAATATGACCTGGTTGACAAAGTAGAAGCAATTACAAAAAGAAAGAACAGGAGGAATAAGAAGGACAAGAAGGAGAGACACAGTAAGGTTGAGGCTCGTCATGGCCGCTCCAGGAGGTCTCGGGGTAACGAGCGCCGCCCTCGAAGTGCTCCTCTCTTGCAGGACTCCTCCGTCAGGCACGAGGACCCACTGACCAAACCATCAAGCAGCGCCATGGACCTCTTGCACAAGTTTAATGACACTGTGGATGTATTAACAGGCAACTCTTCATTTTCTAGCAGTGAAGAGTTCTTAGAGCAGTGCCGCGATGCCATCTTGAAGGTAGACCTCACTCCCTATATTGACTGGGAAAGCCGTATCAGCAAAATGGATGCCACCAACCCCGACTTCTGGAGATTTAATGTAAATTCTTCCGACTATTACTACTTCATATTTACATCCGACAACTCCATTGAGCTGAACCACTTGGGTTTCAATTTACAGTTGGACCGAGCAACCTACGACGTGAGCTCTCCTCTGGAAAGCTGCCGTAACTCTACGGAATGTGTGTTTTCTTTAGCATTCACTCAGACGGAGGCTGTGGTGGTGGAGGTTCCTGCAGAGGAGAACCTGCAGGAGCTTCACTCCTTTGAGGTCACCACCACCTGTCAGCCCCGCGTCCCCGTCTACATGGTGTTCATCCTACTCGTGCCCTTCATTATCTTGCTCTTCGCCTTCCAGTGAACTGTCCCGATGACAGCCATGGTAGTAAAATAATCATTGAGTTCTCGTCTATTACCAAAGGTGTGTACTCTCGGTGAGTAGTTAGTGACGATGAATAACTGTATGAAGCAAACTTCTCTACACGAAAGGTCACCTCTTAAAGACCAGTGAATAGCGTTAGAGCAGCTTTCACCCGTGTGTGCGCGCGTGTGTACGTGCTCACGAACAATACAGAGGTGGTCAGCACACAGGACAAGCGTGGTCCTCATGGGTGACCAGAGTGGCGGAGCGGACACTGATAACCTTGCTGGTAGTGACCCGTCATCTCCTCCCATGTACCCAACGCTTATACTAGTCATTGCATCCCAAAAGACTAACATGTCGGCTAACATGAGTACTGCTGTACTCTTGTCATCAGTAAAACAGAGTAACTGTGGACAACTAAAACTCGTGCTTAACATGCACATGTGTAAATATTTAGTGTTCCTTGTCTACAAAGTCGTAGTGTACTCTTTCTGTGCGTAAATATACTGGAGAATATAACAGTGAGCCTGGTCTGGTGAGGCTGTGACGTGCTTGTGGGAGCATCATGTGTGTGGCGTCAACCAACTGGGGATGTCTACGGTTTTTGCAATGGCATTATTGAGCATAGTGTGTAAACATGCAGGTTTATTATAACTGTGATTATTCCTTAATCGTGTGAGGTGTCGGCCCACAGGTTTCAAGGAAACTTCATTTGCCAGGATAGGCTGACATAGGCTAAAATGTCATAGAATTGTAAGATGTTTAGATTACTCTCTTCTTTTTTTAAGAGGAGCAAAGTATATTAAAATATGAACATTTTTTTATTTGATAATCAGGGGGTTTTGTTGGCAACAACACATTATCACGTCCCTTTGTTTTGGGGAATGTGTGAGGCCTTAAGGTACACAATTATAAGTTGTTTGTTTAGCTGCAGTTTTCTTTTAATTTGTATAATTTTTGTGCTCATTAAATGGAAACGAGAGTTGGTGACACTGGTGGGACATGGAAGCCTCTCTGCTCTGATGAGGGTTCCTTGTTTGGTGACACTGGTGGGACATGGAAGCCTCTCTGCTCTGATGAGGGTTCCTTGTTTGGTGACACTGGTGGGACATGGAAGCCTCTCTGCTCTGATGAGGGTTCCTTGTTTGGTGACAAGTTTGGTAATACAAACACCACTTAACTGCCAACTGCAGAGTCAACAAGTCTAAAGTTGACAACAAAATTGATTTATAATCATTAATACTTTACAGTGTTGTTCAATGTCAGGCTTTAAACTGCATTTATGTTTTAATATAATGGATGAAGATTTTGTTAGCCTCCATATGACGAAAGTTATCTACCAATTCTAGAAAAAAAATCTAGCATTTGATATGTTGCACAGTAACAGTTGACCGAGTATGGTAACCAGGGCCAGTATTCGTCAAGCATTGAGGCGTCCACTCACGAAACCTGTACATTTTTACACAATCATGGCAGCTTTGGTTAAATTTATTACACAGTTTAAGAGCTCTGAAGCACTACGAGGTTGTTCATAATAACCACCACCACTACCTTGTCTTGTGAAGTTTCCAAACTCGTACACAGTTTAATAAATGTAAACAAAGCCGCCATGTCTGAGGAAAGATGTGCAGGGGCCAGATTCACGAAGCAGTTACGCAAGTACTTACGAACGTGTACATCTTTCCACAATCTTTGACGACTTTGGTTACAAAATGTGGTCTGGTCAACATACTTCAGCCACGTTATTGTGACTCATCGCCTGCACTTTGGTTACATTTATTAAAAAGTTTACAAGCATGAAAACTTCCAGATCATCTGTTATTGTTATAAACAGCCTCCTGTGCGTTTAAGCTCGTTAACTGTTTAATAATTGTAAAAAAAAAAAAAAACCGTCAAAGACAGAGAAAAGATGTACAGGCTCGTAAGTGCTTGCGTAACTGCTTCGTGAATCTGGCCCCAGGTTTCGTAAGCGGGCCAAAATGCTTGATGAATACTGGCCCTGTATTGTGAACGCGGTAAAACTCACTTTTTCGTACAGGAAATATTACCATTTTGTGATGAGCAAGTCTTGAGCAAAATACATTCCATAATGTGAGTAAGTTGTGGAGGTGTGGAGCGTCTTCTGGTGGTTGTGTAGGGTCTTCCTGTATGTCTTCCTTCTTGCACGGTGCCTCAAAGCCAGTACAAATGTATGTATACCGTGTATGGATTTCATTGTGTTCTCAGTAAGTTATTTTGTACTTTGCTCACTTCTAAATAAAATAAAATAAAATCGCAGATTTAGTATTATTGAAGACCAATTGTGGCCACTTGGTACGACTTATTGAAATATTAAATGGGTGTTGATTACTGTCCGTGGCAAGATGCCATGCACTTTCTCACAAGATGAAGCCACCCAATGGGTGGCGCGGGCATGAATAGCCCTTAATTCTCACAAGAGTGGAGACCAGCTATTTAGAGCCAGAGGTGAGGATCCTGTCGCACCGTCACCCTCAAGTTGTCTCCAACTACACCGTACAACCTTCCTTAAGGGCCTCCATCTCTTCTGACCTAGACAGGTACCTGCATGTACCCAATGGTCAACATCTTCAGTCACTTCCATGGGGAAAGGAAGCCATGGTCCTCAAGGGTCACCCTCTCGCTTTTGGTCCCAAATTTTAAACTTCAAGCATTATCAAGAGGAAACAGATGAGCGTCTCTGAAATTGGAAGATAATTTGATGAAATGCTTGACAAATTCCGTGTTAATTACTCAGGGACAGTGACTACCCATTCCCCTAGTACAAATGACCCATTAATCATGCCATCCCCACCCCCCAATCAGCTGACAATTGTGGTAAATCGAATAACTAGTGTGTAATATAAGAAAACTACCCCCCAGGTTCCCTAACTGCTCATGATAAAGAATGACATGGTTGATGAAGCTCTAGCTCGTATACAAGCAGCCCGTCCTCATAAACAATGACCCAAAGTCCATTCTATGCACCCGCCAAACCCCAGCTGTTTATGAATGAAACACGGTTTACACACGACTCACAACTGATGACGTTCGAACACTTCCGGAACAAGTGCTTCACTGACGACTGTTGTTCGAACCACAACGCTGTAAATGCTTCACCCACGTACTACAAATAATCGCCAACAGAACCTAAACACACAACCTAACTAGTGCCTAAATATGCATAGTATGGCAATATGTAATAATATTAATTTATATTTGAGAAAAGTTCTGTTGTGAATGAACAGCATGTTAAAACTGACGAATGGGTCTTTGGTGTTGACCGCTGGATGGAATGGACTTGGTCTGAGGCCGGGTCGAATTATTAGGTTGATAGAACACTGTACTATAGTGTCACGTTTACGTCCAATATTCTCGATCAAGAAACCCTGGTTCGATCCCCAGGCTTGGCAGAAAAGATTGGGCAAGTTCCCTTTCAACTGATGTCACAGCTCACCTAGTAGTTATTAATAGGTGCCCGAGAGAGAGGTAACTGCTGTGGGTTGCATCCTGGGGAATGTCAGAAGTAATTATCAAAAGGCAGCAGCAAGCCGGGGAGACTATGTAACACCATCAGTGTCGCAGGATATTCAAAAGGCGCTAAATATATCTGAGGATTCCAATACGAGAACATAGGCGCATAAGGCGAGCGATATTAAAGGGGAGATGGTGACAGGTGTTAGTTGATGAGTCTTTGTTGTGATGAATGCCAACAAAGAGGTGGCACGGGGATGAATAGGCTGTACCACGGGGATGCTGTGGTTGTGGCGGCCTTATACTCCCGTTCACCTGACTGATGCTACACTCTGGTTACTTGTAAAACTGGTTGATAACTTACCTGTGCCAGTTAAATCCACTACGGGCTCGCCATAGCCCGTGATATTTGCAACTTTATGTTCAGAGTAGCTGGATCTAAAACAACAACAACAACAAACATCAACTTTCCTGGTATCTGGAGCCATTAGGGTTGTGGAGGTGACGGTTGGCGAGGCTTCCCGCCCCGACACCCCGCATTTCCTAATATAGACCAACTAACTCCCTTCGAAATCTGATCTTCCACTTTACATGCTTTTACCAAGTCTCATCTTAGGGAATGACTTAAGATGACATGTTTGCATCCTTACACTCTAAATAAGATTCACAATACCCTTCTGCACCGTAGCTCGCTGCCTCTAATATTCAAACGAACGGAAACTTTTCATACAGCTGTAGATTTATAATTGTTTCTACAAAATGTTTGTGCGTTACTTACCCAAGTCATAATAATAGTGTACTATGTAATTATTATAATTATATACCAAGTAATCAGTGTTTACATGCAGAAGCTTCGTCACTAATATCTACAAATGATTACACTTGTGGCTGGAGTGAAACATGTATTAGTCATAGAAAATACTTCCTGGATGAACGAACGCAACATTATTTTTGTAAAAGAGACTTAAGTTTCCCTACACCTAAGCCGACACGGGCTATGGGCCTCTCCTTACAAACACACACACCGTCAGAGATCATCCGTTGAACAATACATAAACTCAAAAATAATAAGTCTACATTTACCTCTGTTTTAGTTTCCATGTCTGAAACTATGAAGGTGCTTGAAACTTACTTGCAAAACTAAGACTTCTATATTTATTTCTATATATCAGGCTTGTATATCTCGGGTAGCGTAGAAAAAGCTAAGATATTAGGCTAGACAAAAATAACTTATTTTGCATACATTTATAGCAAAATATGATTATTATAACAAGAACATATCGCCCCTCCCCCCCCCCTTGCATCAAGAAGTTCAAACTCTCCCTGAAAGAAGAAACCCGATCCTCAATTCTCAGCAAGTGTGTGCGTGTGGTCTTACTGCGTCTCTGTTTAGGGGAAGACTTTAAGACGAGCAAATTACAGCCTCGACCCTTTCTCGGCTTTCATACACATGTACTGATGTGTGTGCGCGCACACGCGCGCGCACACACACACACATGCCGAAGAAATATAAGAAAATTCACTTTCGCAAACAGAGTGGTAGACGGTTGGAACAAGTTAGGGGAGAAGGTGGTGGAGGCCAAGACCGTCAGTAGTTTCAAAGCGTTATATGACAAAGAGTGCTGGGAAGACGGGACACCACGAGCGTAGCTCTCATCCTGTAACTACACTTAGGTAATTACACTTAGGTAATTACACACACACGTGCACAACCCTCTAATTTGTACCCTTAAACACGTACACAATATGCAAACTAAAAGCATCATCACAGACCATGTACGATGACTGATCTCTCAATTCAGTCACACTGCTGAAGGTGACTATATTGAATACTTCATACCTTCATGACTACTACGAATTAGAGGTATTATCAGGCAACATCACCGTGACAAGGTTACTGAGGAAAGGAGGATAGAACAAATCAGTGAATCTGTAAGCTGGTACAACATGGTTGCAGCTGGCAACCCTAATCATTATGGACGAAGGAGGAGGAGGACGAGGGAGAGAATCAGTAATAGCGAGAATCCGTCTTGGATACAAATATCCATGGAGACTCGGAATGGAAACAACAATTGAACAGTGGAGTTGCAGAATCTGTGATGAGAGTGACGGACACCGCCTTGACCACTACCTACAAGAATGTGAATATCCGAGAAACATTAGAAAAGTGTGTAGAGTAATAAACCCCACATTGTTTCAGTTAGGAAAATGCCATTTGTCAAATATTGATACTGTTATTAAAAGTTTTCCCCATTTTGCACCCGCAAGATAACGTAAGATTTTAAGGATTGCCAAATGTTAATCTTCTTGTTTGATAATCTGTTCATTTGAGACAATTAAGCAAGTTCCAGCTGTGTCTGGGTACAAGTGACAGGATGAACAACCCAACGGGTTTTCTTCCTATTGGGGAGTGTTGTACATGCTGCTATGGCGGTGTGTCCACTCACAAGATGAGTGGCGCTGCCCAATACTGTCACTATGGCGGTGTGTCCACTCACAGGATGAGTGACGCTGCCCAATACTGTCACTATGGTGGTGTGTCCACTCACAGGATGAGTGGCGCTGTAACACGGGTTTGGGTTTCTCTCTCTACTTCACTTCCTTCTTTGCCCTCTACCCGTATTCTTACTTTTTATTCTCTACCAAGGGACTCCAAAACTTTTACCAAAGCCAACTCCACGCCACGTGGTCCTAAGACGATTGACCGACTTAGGATTCTACACCCAGTATGACGTGACCTAGGCTCTGAGCAAAACCCTAGAGTCGCCTCTACGCTGCCACCACCAGACCAGTAACACAGAGCAATGATCGAGGTCTGGATCGAT